AACATCATTTAGGCCAAAGTGTATTGCTAATAATCATGTGAATATAGCATACATTTATTTTCTTTCCTAACTTAATAAACATTTTTTTTTGAGAAAGCAATTCCAAGAGAAAAACATGGATGCTCTTTATTCAGTACTTTAGATATAGCTCAAGGGCATATTTACATCATTATTGTATCTTTGGTGATCAAAGCAAATAAATTAGCAAAAATGTCAAGAGCATAAACAGTCTAGGATTTGAAGTCAGGCAGATCTGGTTCAAATTATTAGGTGATGGTTTTAGGCCATTCACTTAGCCTCTTTCTATCTCAGTTTCTCTGTCTCTAAAACAGAAATAATAGTTATCTTACATTCATTCATTCAACAAATATCTACTGAACTTGGGTGCCCAGAAGGTGCTGGGTTACAACTATAAACAAGACAAGTCCCTGCCATTCTACAGCTTATACTCTAGAAGAGGTAGATAATAAACATAAATACATAACTAAAATAATTCCATATAAGTAGTAAATGCAATGAAGAAAACAAATCAGAGTAATAGGACTGAAAATGATTAGGGGGGCTGAGAGGAGGGCTGTGGCCACCTAATCTAAGAAGTCTTCTTTGAGGAGGTAGCACATTAGAGCTTAGACTCAACTAATGAGGAGTGAGACATGGGTAGATCTGGAGGAGTGTCCAGGAGGTTGAAAGTTCTTGAGGCAGGAAGGAATTGGGCATTTTCTTATGACCAGAAAAAAGGGCTATGAGGCTGGATCCTAGTGAACAAAAACGGAGAGTACTGGGATATTCAGAGGCTATTAGGATATTAGGAGATGCAAGCAGGATCCAAATCATGTAGGGCCTTGTAGATATGATAAAGAAACTGGATATTATTCTAATTACAATGGAAGACATAAACTGGCTCTGAACAGGGAATTGACGCTGCATAATTTACATTTTAAAAAGATCCCTTTCTATTAATAATTTACTAAAACTAACAAGATACTTAAGTTGGTTTGCAATAATCAATTTTGTTTCTATATATTGTACTAGTAATAGATAGTTTAAAAATATAATTAAAAAGATACCATTTATAAAAGCAGCAACAACAACAAGAAAGATACATAGGAATAAATTAAAGAGTTTAAAGATCTTTACAAGTCCATTATTCACACATTATACATTATAATAGTACATTATAAACATTTCTGGAAGATATTTAAGTAAGCCTAAATTAATGAACATATACCATGTTCACGAATGGAAGGGCTTGATATCACAAAGATGTCAATTTTCTCCAAATTATGTGACAAATTCAGTATAATTCCAATTAAAAATCTCAAGAGGACTTTTTTTTCCTTTGTGGAATTTGATAATCTGACCCTAAAATTTATATGCAAGAACACGGGGACAAAATTAGCCAAGTCAATTTTTAATTTGCCCTACCAGATATCAATACTTAAAATTAAGACAGTTCGATATTGGGAGAGGAATAGACAAACAGACCAGTAGAACAGAATAAAGAGCTCCAGAATAGACCTACATATACATGAAAAGTTGATCTATTACAAAAGTGGCCTTACAGGTCAGTGGGGAAGGGATGGATAATTAAATAACTGCTGCTAAGACATTTGGTTGTCCATATAAAAAACAAAATCAATCCAGATAATTTAAAGAGAAAACCATGAAAACCCATACTTTAAAATATTTTCAAGAAAATACAGGGAACATCTTTAAAACCTCAGGGTAGGGAAGGATTTCTTGAGACATAAAAAGCACAAATCCTAAAGGAAAACACACACATGTTTAATTACATTAATATTTAACATTTCTGTACATCCAAGACATCCTAAAGTGAAAAGACAGACCATAAACTAGGAAAAGATATTTGCAAGTCAAAAAACCAACAAAGGGTTATTTTCTTGGAAAATAGTAAACCATCAACAAAAAGCCAATAAAAAGACAACCACATAGAAAAATGGGAAATGGATATAGAGTTGAAATTCACAGAAAAGAAAAACTGAAAGGCCAACAAACACATGAAATAATGCTCACTTTCACGAGTAATAGGAGAAATGCATACAAACAAGAATAGCAAAATCTAAAAAGTATCCATCGTTAGGGAGCACTGAAGTAGCAGGCATGCTAATATACTGCCGATCGAAGCATAAATTCTTACAATCATTTTGAAGAGCAATTTATTTTTAATATCTGGCAATAATATTGAAATATATTTATTGAAATGATCCTTTAATTCCTAGGTATATTACTCTAGAGAAAGCTTCGCATGTGTGTATATGGAGATGTAAAAATATTCATGGCATCACGGGATCTTTGGAATGAAAAACTGGAAATGAACTAAATGTTCATTAATAGGATAATAGATACACAAATTACAAGTATATTCACGCAATGGAATACAGCAGTGAAAATGAATGAAATGCAGCTATAGCTATTAGTGAGGATGAATCTCATAAAGAGAATTTTGAGCAAAAAGAAAAAACAGTTGCAGAAAGATATGTATAGCGAAAATAAAATTTATGTCAAACACTATATATTGTTATGGGTATATATGTAGATGTAACAAAAGTACATATATTTCATGAGAACGATAAACATCAAAATCAGGATAGTTTTACCCCTGGAGAATGGAAGGTGAATGGAATTAAGGAGGGAAACACAGGAGACTTCAATTATAAGATTATATATTTTTTAAGCTAGGTGGTGGGTACATGGTTATCTGTTTTATTCACTCCTTTTTTGTAAACTGGAAATATTTCATAATGTGATGTTTGAAAGGAGAAAAGTAATTCTAGATTTTTATAAACTGAAGAATGAACTACCTGGGGGGTAAGAATGGAAATAGACATGTTAGGAGACAATTGCGATATTCTAGGAGAGTAAACTCAAGTATCTAGCACAGTTTCTGGCACGCAGTAGTGTTTAACAAATTGTAGCTATTTTTATGGTGGTTGCTATCATCATTATCAGGATAAAGACCAAAGATATAGGGAGATTGTTAAGAAATAAAAACTAAATGTTTTGAGTAGCTATGTTGTGTTAAGTGCTTTATTTATCTCTGTTAGTCTTGACTAGAATCTAGTTATAGAGAGTCTAAGGCTCACAGAGGCCAAAGCAGAAAGGCACCAGAGTACAAATTTCTTGGTTTTTTTTTTGAGGAAGACTGGTCCTGAGCTAACATCTGTTGCCAATCTTCCTCTTTTTGCTTGAGGAAGATTGTCCCTGAGCTAACATCTGTGCCAGTCTTCCTCTACTTTGTATATGGGCTGGCACCACAGCATGGCTTCAGGAGCGGTGTGTAGGTCCGCCCCTGGGATCCAAACTCTCCAACCCTGGGCTGCCCCAAGCAGAGCCCAAGAACTTAACTACTATGCCACCTGGCTGGCCCCGATTCATAAATTTCTAATGACTCATTTTCCAATGGTTTTTAAAACACACCTCCCCTCCTCCCCTATACACACACCTCTTTCCTGTCTAGTACTTGAAGAAAATTCAAGTATCTTTTCTCTTTGTTTCATAAGTAGCATATTTTCAGTTGAACAGTAATAGTTCGATACACCAAACACTTGGATAGTGCTTTAGTACTTACTGCAGAACGCTTTTGGATCTCTCTCAAGTTTTCATCGGATCCTCCTAACACCTCTAAGGAAGGCAGGGCAGTTGATTATTCCTGTTTTACAGATAAGTAAACTAAAATCCAAAGAGGCTAAATCAGAGGTTCACCTTGTGACCATGAACTTCATGAAATCCTATGTTAAACAAGTTATGATTGAGTGGGTATTTTTCTAGGTAGAGGGTCAGCTTTAATTCCATTTTCAAAGGAGTCCATGACTCGCCAAAAAGGTTTCAAAAATAGTGCGTTAAATGATTCGCCTAAAGCCTAAGGTCACATGGTGCTGGTAGAGGCAAGACTCCAAACAATTTCTTCCTACCCCATACTCAGAATTCTTTTCATTACAACCTATAGCATCAAAATTCAAATTAGAGATATTATTGGTGCGATACTTTTTGTAATATATTCTGACTGCTAAGATGGAAACATTATTAAATATAACGAAACATCTTACTTGGGAGGAATAGTTTTGGTTTGTTCGGCCGTTGGGCAATCACTCTGTGATCTCCACGGCGTGACTTTTCGGAAAAGCTAGTCTTTACAAGCTCAAGCACAGACTTGCTAAATAAGAAATGAATCTGATACAGTAACTTTGTAACGTATTCTACAATTCTGAGTAATCTATCAAGAATAATCATGTGACACAGTTTGAGCTAGCGGAGGAAAGCGGACCATGAGCTAAGAATGAGATTTTCATTTCTCCTGGACCAGTTGCTTAACGTCTTAGGGTCTCCCTTCTCTCAGCTGTGAAAGGAAGGATTAATGTGGATGGCTTCCCAGAATCCCTCCAGCTCTAACATTGTATGTAGTCGAATGGGATTTAAAATAGGAAGCAGCAGAGGAGTTTTGTGTATAAACTCTTCCTACACAGTCTGATAATGTTAGCTGTATTTTCCGAAAGAGAAAGGCCTCCAGCGCCCTAGGAGGGTCACTGGGCATTAGCCCCAAGTGTCCGGGGGCCCACCAGACCTGTCCCTCAGGAGGGCCAACCTTGCAGTTCCTCTTAATATGTAGTAGGGGCGGGTGGAGAGAAAGCAATCAAGGCCAATTGGCCAAGGGGATTTGAAACTCAAGAGCTCTTAATCCTATATTTAGGAACGAAGGAAGGCGGGAACGCTCAAGCACAGCGGGTGCAAAGGGATCCGCTTACACAGGGTGGGGTGAGCCAGCGTTGGGGGTGGTGCTTCGGGACCTGAGGCAGTTGAAGCGCCGAGAGCGCCGCACTTCCCGCCCCATCCCGGCCGCCTGCAACGCCACTCATGGGAACCTCCGGGCTCGGCGAAGCCACGTGACCGAGCGCCGGGGCGGGGAGAGGCGCGCCCCTCCCCGCCCCAAGCGCATGCGCGCAGCTCCCGGCGCTGAAATTCAAATTTGAACGGCTGCTGGAGGCCGAGTCTGACACTGGAGGCTGAGGGGAAGAGGAGAGGAGGTTGGGCGAGTTCCCTCGTCCCGCACTCCTTGTTTTCTCCAAGTGACACACTGAGCCAAGACTCACTTTTCTTTTTCTGAACTTGAACCACCGTTTCCGTCGTCTCGCAATCGACCCGCGAACCCCAGGGCGATGGACCCGTTTACGGAGGTGAGAAAACTTGCGGGCACAGCCAGCCATCACCCCTCTCGGCCCTCGCTCTCCCTTCCTACCTTCTGTCAACCTCTGGGCCCAGCGGGCGGAGGGCGCGTGCGCGCGCGTGCGCAGTGTGCGCGCGGGGTTCGGGCTGGGGAAGCCGGGAGGGGGCCGCGGATGCCCCTTGCACTGCGGCTGCGGTGCGTCTTCAGTTTACTTGTTGATGTTGTCCCGCAGATGTAGCTCTGGGAGGAAAGTTTTGAGTCTGTCCTAAATGGCGGTAGTGAAAAAACTGTCAGCCCCGGTTATTATAATGCCCCTCTGGAGTGGAGCCCTGTTCCCCCGGAGAGTGAGGTTGGGGCCTGACAGAACAGGTCCTGCTGGGAGTCAAAGCGGGATAGCTCGTAGGGTGGAGTCGGGTGCCCGAGTGACTCAGTGCTGTGTGTGCAATCGCCGCCTGGGAATGGAATAGAATGTGATTTGCCGGGTTCGTGAGGCTCGCAGAGGAGCCGTGCGTTCAAGGATGCTGTTAACGAAATGACAGCAAAACGTTAAAATAAGCCAGTGCCTGAAACCATTGCAGCCGTTCCTATAAAGTCAATAGTTCCTTCAGATTCCATTGTTCAGCTAACTAGCGAAGAAGTTGCATACCCAAGATTGACATTTTAATTGAAAGGAAACAGTGCTAACCGAATATGTACAAACCAAAATTATTAGCCTAAGATTTAAAAAACCAAAGTAAAGACATAAACCTTTTTTGTGTGTTTATAGAGTATAACATTACAGCAATGTTTAACTCATCTTTTGTTCTTTGGAAATTGACTATAGATTAATTACATTGTTATTGTGCCGATTATTTCTCTAGCTTTTACTTCTTGTTGAGAATGTACGTTGACATATTCGGGAGTTGCGTGTTGCCAGGTGTCCGCTCCCTTTTCTTTCAGGACAGTTCCTCTTTTTTTAGGTTGTTGTGCAAGTTTCAAACTGTTATTTTTGAGTTGTTGCAAAGTAGGCCTAAAAATGTCCCGGTGCTAGATTAAAAATTTAAATGGTATGGAGAATAGTAATACTTTCTTTTTTGGAGATGTAGTTACAATTCCGTAAGTTAAGTCTAAAATATTAAAAGTTCAACAATTAGAGTTTACTTGTATTCAAACACAAAAGTATTTATTTTTGTTTCAAATTCTCAATCTTGGGGAAAAACACATCAGTTTGTTCACCTTACTTTTAAAAATTCTAACAAAAATCCAGAACACATTTTTATGTTAGCTTAAAGAATAGGGCTGGTCGTGCACCATATATTTTTCACTTACACTGAAGTTAAAAAGGATATATTATTTTATGTTACTAACTTAGAATAGGATTCCTTAAAACATTAGCCCTCTTTGTTCTGAATATTCTTTGTATTTTCCTAAGTAACTGACAGGAACAAAGCATTTTGAAAGTTGGCTGAAAATTGTACTTCATTTTACTTAAAAATGTCATTCTGAAGCTAGTACAAATCTCAGTTGAAAGAAACTTTTGTTTGAAAGAAACGTTTCATTTTAGAGTGTGCTCAGAAATATACAAGGTTTAATATGTATGGTTTATATTATGAAAAGTTAGATCAGTTGCAGTTGGAATAAACAGCTTTGACATCTTTTCCTTAATTGGTAATGAGTGAACTATTTGAATTGGTTCCAACCATTAGGTGCTTAATTATAGCTTTCATAACATTTTTGCACAGTGAGATGAACTGGTACAGTTCCTTGTTTGAAAAAGACTGAAAGTCAGTTAACAAGACTTTCTCAACCACAGTTCCTTATCAGAACCGTAGAACACACAAAGTTATTTGAGAGACTGTTTTCTCAATTTTCCCAAAGGTGATTCATTTCCCTAGGTGTCTCATATTTCTGCAGTTTGTTTGTTTGAATCAGGATCTAGACAGGGTCCACAAGGTAATGTCTTTCTAATGTTCTTCATGGACCAACCAGAAATAAAGAATCCATCTTGATTCATGGATAAAAAAGCAGTTAAGGCAGATGTTTATTATTATGATCTAATATGAGCTGATAGCATTAAAAAAGTTATGTTGGTGGTATGAAGTTAGTTCTGCTGACAATAAGTTCTTAAAAAGAGCAATTGGATTTAGTCAAAAGACAGTTTATAGCAAAGTGGTTAAGAGCCCAGACTCTGGATCCTGGGTTTGAATCCTGCTTTGTCACTTAGTTATGTGACCTGTGGCTTATTATTTAACTTGTGCCTGAGTTTTTTCATCTATGAAACAGTAGTAAAAACAGAACCTACCAAATAAGTTTTTGAAAACGAGTTACTGTGTGCAGACACTGAAAGTACTTTACATTAAGTCCTATATAAGTGTTAGTGATTGTTCTTGTACTTGTTGTTAGGTGAATTTAAAACCATAAACTTACTATTCGTAACACTGGTGTTAGCCTCTTTGTTTGAAAATCTGTTCATGGGCGATGGTCATCCCAATCCAAGACTAGAATAGGGAAACCCAAAGCTAGTTGTGCCAAGTCAGAACTTTCTATGTAGGAACCTTTAAGAGAAAAAGCTACAATTAAAATACTTTGTAAAGCATCTTTTCTTGTGATATAAGTAAACAAACAAACATGCTGTTATTGTTTGTAATGGAGTTTCTCTTATTTTCTAGAATTAAATAAAAATCTCTGTATTGACTTGAGAAAGAATGCTGCTAGAGGAAATTGAAAATGATAAGTTAATTTATATTGAGTCTACTCTGTTTAAGAAGGCAGAAAAATCACTAATACTGGCTAGAAAAATTTCTGTCAGAAATGATTTGAGGTGTATGTGGCAGAAATTGCTTAGGGACTATAACCTTCAATTATCTTGGATTCATCCATGTGGAACATCTTATTTTGCAGTTATGCAGTGTTTTTTTTTTTTAATGCCTCTACTATTTGAAGAAGGAAGTGTGATATTTAAAGGAATGTACCTCATAAATAAAAGAACCCTGAAATTTCTGATACACTATTATAAGAAAGGGTGACTTACATTTATTGAGCTGTTGAGTTTATGTACTTTAGATACATCACTTCTTTTAAATTAATAATCTTTGGTTCTTATTAGTTTTATTTTACAGATTAGGGAACTGTTTTTGCTTATCTGGTTTAATTTTTTTTAATCTTGAAATTTTTGGATCTAATGTAGACAATAGAAGACTTGTATATGTTTGAATGGCAAAACCACGTTCTTTGGTTGTGACCCATTGCTCATAGTAACTGAAGATATACTGACTCACAAGTATTCTAACTGACCAGAATGGAATGTGGGCATGTCCATGAATGAATGTAATTAGGCTAGTTTTGTGCCTGGGGAGTGATTTGTTTTATCGTGGGGGAAATTATCAGTCATATATGAATTTGTGTGTAACAATATCACTTTTAAGTTTGTTGAAGACTTTTATTTAAAGGGTGGTCTTGTGTTTTGAAAGGCATTTGGTTCATACATTGTCCTTTCGGTGCCATAGCATTTGGATTCAGTGTCACTTCTTTCAATGAACTTTAAATGAGAAAGTTGTGCCTTCTTCCAAATTTAGCTCAGGCTTCTTTGGCATACTCAGAGAAGTTTTTAAGAATTGCTATTCTGTTTTAATTAAGGAATTAAAAAGATCAAATGGAGTTTATTTTCTTAGTTTGCTAACTACTGTATCTGTGTTTGCAAGGCAATTTATAAACTCCAGCTAATAATCTGCATCCCTCCTATAGTTGTGCACATTTGAAAGAGAATGAATTGTTTTACAGGGTCTTGTGTTTTACCATACTGATTCAAATAGGAGCATCAGTTGATTCAGGGTAACAAAATAGTATTCATGGTTTTATGGAATGGCTAAGATTTCAACTTAAAACTTTTATTTTATTGGTTGGTATTTAATTAATACATAAGATTGTTTAGGTTTTTTTCTCTTAGGAATATGTCTTATGTTTCCAAAGGACTAATACATCAGTTATCTCTTGCTGTTTACTACCACCCCAAACCTTAGTGGCTGTTTTAGTTTTGCTGCTGTAATTACAATTCTCAGGGCTTGACATCACATATACTATTATCTTCTGTAGGTCAGAAGTCTGATGGATTTTACTGGGTTAAAATCAAGGTGTGTTGGCAGGATTGTGTTCCTTCTGGAGGCTCTAGAGGAGAAGCTCCTTGCCTTTTCCAGCTTCTAGAGGCCACCTGCTTTTGGCTTGTGGCCCCTTCATCCATCTTCAAAGCCATCAATCACATCACTCCGACCTCTGCTTCCATTGTCACATCTTCTTTGACTCTGACTTTCCTGCCTCTCTGTTTTCTTTATAAGGCTATTGTGATTACATTGGTCCAGGTAATCCATGATAATGTCTACATCTCCAGACCCTTAATTTAATCACACCAGCAAAGTCCCTTTTGCCATGTAAGGTAACATATTCACAGGTCCACGGGATTAGGACATGAACATCTTTGGGGGACCGTTATTCTGCCTACCATGGTGCTTGGAACGACCACCATGCTATTTCTCATGATGCAGAGGGTCAGCAGTTTGTGTTGGGCTCATCTGGGCTGTGCTTCTGCTGGTCTTCCCTGGGGTCATGCAGGAGTCTGCAGTGGTCTGGCAGTGATCTGCAGTGACCTGGGACTGGATGGTCTAAAATGGTCTTGCTCACACATCTGGTGGTTGATGCTGTCAGTTAGGCCCTGTGTCTCTAGCAGGCTTAACCTGGGCTTCTTCACAGGATGGCACTGTTCTAAGGGAGGGAGAATAGAAACTGCAAGACCTTCTGAGGCCTGAGATTGGAAGTCACACAGTATCATTTCTGCCACATTTTATTGGTCAAAGTAAATCATAAAGACAGCCCAATTCAAGGGTGTGGGAATAGATTCCTCCTTTTCATGGAAGCAGAAAAAAATTTGTGGCCATTTAAAATCTTATAGAGCTAACTTTACACATTTTATCTCCCCTTTAATGTTCATATTACATCTGTAATAATTTTGACATTGGGGTGCTCATTTGGTGAATCTTGGCTTAATTACTTAAGATTTTACTTTTGAAGTGTATTTAACTGTTATCCTACATGGCAATTGGTGATTTTAGAAAATACCTGAAGTTTTGTGAACCTTGAACTAAACTTGTGTTTTAAATATTGTATATGTAGAAACTGCTTGAACGAACCCGTGCCAGGCGAGAGAATCTTCAGAGAAAAATGGCTGAGAGGCCCACGGTGGCACCAAGGTCTATGACTCATGCTAAGCGAGCCAGAGAGCCGCTTTCAGAAGCAAGTAACCGGCAACCCCCATCTGGTGGTGAAGGTAAAAGACTATGAGGAAAAGCAAAATTTGCTTTTTTTTTTTTTTGTAAGGAAGACCAGCCCTGAGCTAACATCCCATGCCAATCCTCCTCTTTTTTGCTGAGGAAGATTGGCCCTGGGCTAACATCCGTGCCCATCTTCCTTTACTTTATATGGGACGCCGTCACAGCATGGCCTGACAAGCGGTGCGTCGGTGTGCACCTGGGATCCAAACCTGCGAACCCTGGGCCACCTAAGCAGAGTGTGAGCACTTAACCGCTGCACCCCTGGGTGGGCTCCAAAATTTGCGTTTTTTTAAAGGTGATAAGCCCCAGTTATTTCATTGTGTATGCGGAAGAGCCACAGTCTTTGGGAGACAAATTTAATAGCCTCTAGGGGAAAGATCTGCCTTCTGTTCTATTTTAGGATTATTATGTTAGGCCTAGAACCTATCAGGCCGTAGCAGAGTTTCTTTTAACAAATATTTCAAATTAATTGGTTGAACTTTATTTTCCTCAATCCAAAGTTATCCTTAAAACCCCCAAGGGAAGAAAAATAAAGGAGCAGGTGAACACTTATATTGGCAGTGGTGTGGAGTTTATCTACCCCACCAGTGCCAGAACAGCTCACCACCAGGTTCAGATGGTGTCTCTGGCACGAACAGGGCAACAAAAGGCAGATCTGCTTGCGAATGCTTGAAATTTAATGAGCCTTTTTATCCTTTGTCTGCTGAACCAACTCTCTAGGGTGAGGCTTAAAGTATAGGGTGTTAGTCTATAGAACTGTTGAAATTAAACAAAAACTAGCGCGCACACACACACACACACACACACACACACACACACACACAAATCCAAACTCACTTGGAAACTTATCTTACTCTTTGCTAAATCTTGGCATCCCCAGCCAGCTGCCTTAGTCTTTTCTGAGAGTATGGAATAGTCTGGAGATAATACTTTTTCCTTAGTATAACTTTAAAATACATATAGAAAAAGAGTTACAGAAGGCAAAACCAATATTATAAAAAAGCAGAGATTAGGGCGTGGGGCTGGCGTACAGTTAATTTGGAGGCTAGCCATAGGACGAGAATTTATTTTTGTGTATTTATACATTTTGAAGAGAGGAAGGGAATGCATTACATATATCTGGTATTCAGCCAAGAAAATAGAAACCTGGCCCCAGCCCAGGATCTTCTGTTTTCACTGAGACACGGGTTCATACAATCAAATAGTGGGTACTATGTACTTGAAAACCAGTGGTTGGAGCTATGTTTTGATGCTGAAATGGAGCCATTTACTGTTTTATATAAGAACTGTAAACATAAAGAATTCTGTATTTCCAGGTAGTGTTGCATGTTAAAATAGAAATACTTTCAAAACATGATTAGATAAGTTCATGGAAAATAGATCCGTAAATGAGTTACGGAAGATTAGAAAATTTCATGATACACGTTTAGACTGATGTCGATGAGGGCAATCATGACTTCCCACTAATATCACTTTGGTCACTGCCAGAACAAGAATACTTGGTTAGACAGCCAATGAAACTGACCTCATACGGAATTTACATTCTTACTTTTTAAAATATTACTTTTCCAGGAGATAAATTAAAATTCATTCCTGGGTAGAAATAATATGCCTTATGTTTGGACAGCTCCTTTTTATTTTAGGACTTTTAAATTTATTTTATAGGTGTTCATGGAAGTTTAAAATATGAAGTGTTGTTAAATACTTGTGCTGATGAACTTGTTTGGTATTGACCAGATAATTCAGTCACTTTTTTGGTTCCCTGCCTCTCTCCTAAACCTCAGGCCAGGTGCCCTTCTCTCTTGCTAATTGTTGTCCATGAAAGATTATTTTCAAAACAGAAAGTCTGGTTTCTATTTGTAGCTCAGCTGTGTCACTTTAGGCAGGTAACTTAATTTCTCTGGGCTTGATTTTTCTTATCTAAAAATGAGGTAATTGGGCTGTATGATCTTTAAAATCTCTTAGAACGTTGCTTATTCTCTGTGTCTGCACTTTGAATTTTCTGTTGTCTTAAGACTACATAAAGTATTATGCATATATATCAAGAAAGTTATTTGAATTTATTTTCATTTAGGTTTTTTAAATCATAAATTACGTTTGCTTAAAAAGAAATCTCTCATATCAGATTTTTAAGTTACTGAAAGTAGAATTTTACGTATTTCTTGTTGTAAGTAAAATCATTTAAAGGTTTAGAGAAACATGATGTTTTATTAATCTGTTAAGTACCTACTGCAAGTTTTTCATGCTGTGAGAAATTACGGAATTTTGAGTTTTTCTTCCTTTTTAATCTAGAGAAATCTTGTACAAAACCATCACCATCAAAAAAACGCTGTTCTGACAACACTGAAGTAGAAGTTTCTAACTTGGAAAACGAACAACCAGTTGAATCAGCTTCTGCAAAACCTTGTTCTCCAAGTCCTCCGTCTCCTCAGGCGCAGCCACAAGCACCAGCTGCGGCCAGTGATTCTGTGGCTGTCCCGCCGTCGCTGGGCGTGAGGAGAGGGCTGAATTCAAGACTGGAAGCAACTGCAGCCTCCTCGGTTAAAACACGAATGCAAAAACTGGCAGAGCAGCGGCGCCATTGGGATAATAATGATATGACAGGTATATATTATATGGATGGTATGGTCCTTAAATTGGTTTCAATAAGTTTCAGCTTGGTTTGTTGAAAATTTTATTTATCAGTTAACATATGAAAGGTAAATGCTTTTGATTTATCTATATCCTGAGTATCCGTTGCTTGTACAAGGTTTGTATATCAATAGTATATTTATCAGTTGGTTGTATTCTCATTGAAGTAGATGACAGTGAGGTTCTTAGGCTAGATCACAAAAGCCTGATCTTGTAACAGAATTATCTTATATTTGCACTAAAAAGCAGCAGAGAACAAACTATACTCTTGGCACTATTAGCATTGCTGACCTTCCACTCTATATTTAAGAAATCTTGTTTCATGGATTCACTAATTAAATAAACTTGAGTGACTAAGGTATGCAATGCTGTTCAACAGGAAAGAGAGAAAACTTCAAAACATTTATTGAGCACCTGCAATGCATGTTATTGTGCTAAGGTGCTGAAACGGATGAAGTGACCAATCTTTGCCTTTCATGGACTTGTAAACAGATGGCGAGCCTGAGAGCAGATCATGCAACAGGGTTATTTGTTTTGTGATAAATTTTATTTATCTCCTACCTTGTTACTAAAAAAGCCTTGAGATGATTTACAAAAATACCGATATTTTACAAAACAAGAAAAATAGGGAAATCAGAGTGAAGAGAAAGAAAAACAAAGAAGTGAAGGGTAAAGTTAGTTTATTAAATACAGGCCTTAAGGTCCTCTTCACTTGCTACAGATGCTTCTGAACTTGCTAGCAGCCCATGCAAAGAGGTGAAACACTATCAGGTGCATGGCTAATGTTGGTAAGATAAAAGCAGAATCATTATTGACACTAAAACCCGAGAGAACTTTCTTCCCTGTGTCCTCAAACATGACTTTGTGTGAGCTGGTAATTGTATAGGTTTCTTAAGGTAGGCAGATGGCCTGGCTCCAAGCTCAGTTCAGTAAAAGCAGTTCCAAAGTGAGCTAGCACAGTGCAGGTGCTGGTTGTGGCTACTAGACCTTACCCAAGGAAGCGTTCCTTGGCTTTGGCTTTCAGAGCCTTCCTGGGTGTCAGAATCATTCAGACCATTGGATTGGAATCTCAGGAGTGCAGTGGAGCCCTGAGGTGTGCTCTTGTCTTTATTTTTTAAAGCTCTGTAGGTAATTCTGATGCATAGCCAGAATTGAGACCAGGTAAACTGAAGAAATGGATGGACTACATATACTTCAGTCAGTCTTCCATAAATATCAATTCTTATAACTGAAATTTTGATAAGTAATGGACAGCAAAGCATTTAAGATTATCCTTTCTGGCAGTGATGAGAATCTCAAGAGCAAACACTTACTGTGTAAAAAGTGCTAGGCATTCTAAATATTTTTTGTTCTAATATAGTATAGCATATAATTCTTACAACAATCTTATAAGATACATACCACTTTTATCTTTATGTTATAGAAGAGGAAACTCGGTTCAGATAGGCTGAGAAAACTGCCCACAGTCAGCTGCTAAAATTCAAACCCCAGTAGTTCGACTCTAGGGCTCAACTCTTGCCTGTTGTGACCTGCCTGATGTTTTCTGGGCACGTAACAGGGTACAAATGTTCCATGTTGTCAATTATACCTATTTATTTTAGTAGTGGGTGGGGCTAACAATGCTTCTTTATAATGCCTGAGGAGGCTAGCCAGTAAATGTACCTGAATAGAAGGACGTCTCCTTTCTGTCTTGTAGGAAATATCTATGGGTCGTGGAATGCGAATTTTCCTTTAAAAAAAAAAATAGGGGGTTGTGATTTAATGCATGGTGAAAAGAACAACCTAGGCCCTAAATATTAGAGCATAAAGCATTGCAGCGGTGATTTGGCACATTTTGAATGCAAATGTTAACAAATGCCTACCTCAGCCTTGAAAATAAATCTCATTAAGGCATTATAGCCTGTCTAATTTTAAGCATTGAAACTTGTGAATAAAGTGTTTGTAATGAATGGTTTAGTGAATGCTAAACAGGACTGTGGGTATAAGCCAGTTAAATGTTTGAGGACTTATACTAAAATATAATTTATCTAAAACCTTTCTTTCTGACAGAATAGTTAGAAGAGCTAGAGGTCTATTAAGCCCATTCCTAAAACATGATGATAAAACTGTCATCTGCTTAGAGGACAGTGTTAATTCTAAGGAAAATGATAGAGGTATGCAAAAGGGTATTGTTGGGAAGGCGGTGGTCAGGGAAGATTTTCTGGAGGAGGCAGGGGTGGTTAAGCTGGACTTTGAGGGGCAGCTGGCTTCAGACAGTCGAGGTGTTCTAGGCAGAAGCAACAGAATGTATAAAAAGTACAAATACCGTGAACATAGTGTGGGTATAAAGAGTCAGTATTCTGGTATACAGGGATGTGGTAGAAAAGCAAGAGATAAATTTGAAGAAAGGAGCAGGATCCAGAGCATTTGGAATTTATCCAGGAGGCGCTGGGGAGGTACTGGGAGAGTTTAAGCAGGCAGATGCTTTAGAAAGATCACTCTGGCATCAGAATTGAGGAGGGATTGAATAGTACAGAGATGCGAAGCAGGAAGACCAGTTAGAAGGCTAATATTATAATCCAGATACACCAGATGCAGGCCTGTGGAAGTGAAGAAGAGAGGCTGGATTTGAGAGATTTAGGAGAAAGAATCTGTAGGACTTGATGACTGGATGGTGGAGGATAAGGGAGAAAGGAGGAAGAGGCATGAGGAGGAGGAACATGTTTGGGGCAATTTCAACTTCAAATATGTTATTGGGGGTGCCTGTGGGATAGCCACATGGAAGTAGTTGGTAGTTAGAAGGAGACCATGAAGGATAGACCACGAAGACAGAACTAGTAGAGGATGATGTCACAAATGGAAATACAAAGCCTGCCAGGTATGTACTGGCATCTAGTGACAGTAGCAAAAGCAACTTCAGGGCAGTGGTATAGGTAGAAGGTGGGTTGAAGTGAGTTGAGTTGAAGTGAGTGAATATTGTCCAGGGAAGGAGGGACAGTAGCTAAAAGGGGGTATATATTAATGAGAGGATGTTTGTTTTTGGTTTTAAAATTAGAGGGACTTGAGCATATTTATGTGCAGAGAAAAAGTTTGTAGAGAGGAAGAGGGGTTATTTAGAGCAAGAGCCCTGAGAAGGTTTTGGAGGAGTAGAGTTGAAAATTCAGGCAGAGGTATAATAAGCCTTGGACGACAGGAGGGATGCCTCTTCCGTTGACTGAATTTGTGGAATAGAAAGTGCTATGAACTTTGACTCCCCTTTGTGCTCTTTGTGCATACAGACCTAGATCCTTCTAAGTTAAATATTACTTGAGATTGATCTCCAAATGAAGTAACTGTGCAGAAAAACATTTTAGTCTAACCCTGTGCTATCCAATACTGTAGCCACTAGCCATATGTAGCTTTTTAAAATTAAGTTAGTTGAAATGAAATGAAGTTTCTTAGTTGCCTTAGCCAAATCTCAAGTGCTCATTAGCCACATATGGCTAGTGGTTACTATATTGGACAGTATGAACGTAGAACATCTCCATCATTGCAGAAAGTTCTATTATACAGCACTGGTCTAATCCATTCTTAAAACAAAAAATTCCTGTGGAATACATAATCTTAAATTGTGCAGTGTTATAACATCATGAATTAATTCAGAAAATATAACCTGAATATGTGGTATCTTAAAGCATCCATAATTCATCAAAAAATTGAAAAAAATTGGTGTAACAAAGTTTTTTAAAAAATTTGGATTAAGTATCATCTGATTTGAAAAGATATTGTCATATTTAAGCAGCTTGGTAGTTTCATGCATACGAGAGCTTTTTACTTGTTCTTAAACCTTTTAATTTCATTTAAAAATTCTGAATGGAGTGATCCTGGTATTGCACATACATTAACTCTTGAACATGGGTTTTAACTCTTTCTGAATACATTTTCAGATGATGTACCTCAAGGCTCACTCCTCTCAGCAATGCCATCAGAGGAAAAGGCTGCCTCCCCTCCCAAACCATCCCTTTCAGATGCTTCAGCAACTCCAGTTGGGAGAAGGGGCCGTCTGGCCAACCTTGCTGCAACTATTTGCTCCTGGGAAGATGATGTAAATTACTCATCTGCAAAGCAAAACAGTGCACAAGAACAGCCTGGTACCACTTGTTTATCCAAATTTTCTTCTGCAAGTGGAGCATCTGCTGGGATCAATAGCAGCAGTGTTAAGCAGGAAGCTACATGCTGTTCCCAAAGGGATGGCGATGCCTCTTTGAATAAAGCCCCATCCTCCAGTGCTGTGGGTGCATCTTTGATTAATGTTGCAATTTCCAGCTCTGTGGTAAGTAAATACAATTTTGGTCTTTGGAAACCTTTCCTTTTTTTGTTATGAGTGATAATGTATATATATGTGTGGGTATGTATTTTATAACATATACATAGTGTATTTATTTTCAGAATATTGGTTTCATAGAAAGTAAAAATCATACATTTGATATCCTGTCCCAAGATAAATTAGCAGTTGACAACTAAATTACACTAATTTAATGCAATTCCAAAGTATATAATATGGAGTGATGGAGCCTCTTATCATCAGGGAGAGCACTGAAAATTACTTTCTCCATTAGAATGCCTTATGTATGTGTATAAATACAAGATACCAAATATCTCTGAAAACTGGTAGCTATAGTTCCCTCCAGAAGGCACTTGTCAAGGGTGGGTACCATACTTTCACTGTATACTCTTTTGAAATGTTTGAAAGGTTACCTTATGCATGTATTACCTCATCAGTTTTTAAAAACAATCTTAAAAAAACAAAAAAGAAAAGGAATGTTGTGTTCCTAAGCTTTGTCTTTAAGTGTAGAGCCAGGTTTTGGAATTAGACCTGCATTCAATCCCAGCCTTGCCGCATAATTAGAAGTGTGGCTTTGGACAAGTTACTTAATCTTGTAAAACCTTATTTTTCCATTTGTAAAATGGGAAAGAAAGGGTTATGGGGAGGATTAAATGAGATAACCTGCATAAATCACTTAGCATAATGCTTGGCACATAGTAAGCACTTAATTTATTACAGTTAGCCATCAAATATATGATACAATTTTGTTAAATTAATATTGATTTAATTAAAATACAAAAAATATGTAATTTGGTCTAATACAATTAAAATTTGTAAAGGTACTAGTGTAATAATATGAAAGAAATTGTTTTTTAAAGTAGTGTGTGTCCCTATCCCTCATACTAAATTATTCATCAATATATTATGCAGACTAAACTACATGTTATAATAGCATTTTCTACATTGTTTTTTTTCAAATCTTTCAAATTGGTTTGATCTATTAGAGAGCAAGAACATTTTTTTCATGAGTTTACATAAAGGCTACCAAGCAAGTAGGATTTGAATTGTTTTCTTATAAGACTTGCTTTAGATATTGTGAATGTTGTTATTTAACCTAAGTATTATCATGTTTCAGAAAGCTGCTTCTCCCCCAGTGAAATCTTCTACTACATCCATCACCGATGCTAAAAAGTGTGAGGTACCAAGTCCTGAACTACTTCAAAAACCTTCTGTTAGTCCTCTGAAAACAGAGGTATCAAAACCAATTGGCAAGTCAACTCTATCCCAGACAGTTCGGCCCAAAGAAGAATTAAGTAGAGAAATTTGTCTGCAATCTCAATCTAAAGGCAAATCTACAACGCCAGGTTATGTATTTTTAAAAAATCTAAAGTTACTGCTGACTATTTTCAGTGTATCTGTTCTCTGCATTTTAAATATTCAATTGTGAATGGTACAGTGTTGGTTTGCCGGGGCAAATGCCTGAATGTATCAAGTAAGACTTTTTCAAGCTTGAATTGATTGAATGAATATTCATTAGTGTAGACTAGCCCAGTTACTGGTCAAAGTCTGTTACATTTTAACAGTTTAAACATGCTTTTTTCTAGAATGACCAATGCTGGATACTTTCTTCTATACTTTTTGATGCAGACAAAGCATATACAACTGGAAATCACATTTTAAGAGCATAATGGAGAAACATTCTTGTAACCATGTGTGCAGAGCAGTCTTCTCAAACTGCACTATGAAGGCACCCCTAATAGCAAAGGGAAGTGAATGTATATATAAAAATGACTTCACTCCCAATTATATTTATATGTGTGTATATTGTGTGTGAGTATATACATAAGAAAATTCAAAATTACTTACTAGTAAATTGATGCTCTAGGAAGTCCATATTTATCTTGTGGTGACTTGTACCTTCAGACATTACCCATCCCCCCAACCCCCAGTGCTGTTGGTTGAGAAACACAGGACTGGTTCAAATATATAGTAACCTAGTTTACTTTGAACTATATTCTTTTTCATTAGACTTGCTTTTGAAAAGACTATTTTAAAAATAAATTTTAACTTCTTGAAAATACAATCTCTCCAGAAACTGTAGTTCATCATAAAAGAGAAGTAGATAGAGAGATGAGAGTGGGGAATCCATTAGTTATGGGGTAAGTGGAAACCAGCAGTCAGTTTCCAGATGAGCCAAAATGAGAACTAGAAACAGTAGCAAAATCTACACGTGGAATAGAACTAGTCACTCCCAATTTTCTAAAGATTTACAGCATAGATAAGAATGGCATAGATAAGAGGCATTGTTTTTCTTATTCTTGGCTACTGGTTACACCCAGAATATATTGACAAGGCCTCAGAGATATTCATTTTACATGTTTCTTTGTATTCTTAATGGAATCTGGTTTGAGATATGGGATGAAGTGATAATAAGTGACGTGGAATCTTCAAACCATGGCCATGGATCAAATTCTGCCCTTCCCCTGTTTTTGCAAGTAAAGTTTTATTGGAACACAGCCATACCCTCTTATTGCCTGTGGCTGCTTTCATGCTTCAATGCAGAGTTGAGTAGTTGTGACAAATGGCCTCATGGGCCTGCAAAGCGCAAAATATTTACTCTCTGGCTCTTTATAGGAAAATGTTTGCCAATTACTGATATAGATAAACCTCCTTTTATGTAGTAGGACCCTAGCATCCTCATGATGGAGGTGATATATATCCCATTTGTTCTACTTTAAATGTACCTCATTTAAATGTACCTGTTTCAAATGAGTACTATTTTAAGACTGTAAAGTCAAGACACTCTTTGATAAAGTGTAATCCCTCATTTTTCTTTTTGAGAGAGACAAAGGACTTCATCCCTGGATTTTTATATGTTAGACTTCCTAAAAGCAAGATAAAATAAATTGGGCTGTAGAAATATAAGTAGTTGGGTTATCATGTATAGGACACTTTGTGGTTAGGTTATATTATTAATACCATGCAGTCAATTTCCAATCATTTAGGTTCTGATTATTTAGTTTAAGGGTTTTCTAATTCCCACTGTCCTCTCACTTTATGTTTTAAAAGTTCTTCTTTTTTTTTTCTTAAAGAACTAAATCCCATAAATAAATTTTAGGACATGGAAGTAAATAGTATGATGAAAAAAAATTTTTTTTTTGACCTATGTTCATACTATTTACTTTCTGAATGAATATTAGTAGTAGAATCAAAGCATTTTGGAGCTGTACTGGATTTTAGAACTTTTTCCATAGCAATCATAATTGTTAGTTATTCTGAATAGCCTCCAAAAACGTGTGTGTTTTCTGTAGGAGGAGCAGGAATTAAGCCTTTCCTGGAACGCTTTGGAGAGCGTTGTCAAGAACACAGCAAAGAAAGTCCAGCTCATAGCACACCCCATAGAACCCCCGTTATCACTCCAAATACAAAGGCCATCCAAGAAAGATTATTCAAGCAAAACGAATCTTCATCTACTACGCATTTAGCACAACAGCTCAAGAAGGTATGGCCTACTCTTTTAACGTTATTCATTACGTGGTCTCAACATAGAAGCTAGAAATCAAATTATGAATTCTGGTACCAGTCTTTTTGTCTGACGTAGATAGCATCTTGATTCTCTGTCTCACTTATTTCAAATTAGAAATATTATTGTCTGGTATTCCACATGTATTGTGAATTTCTTAATCTTGAAACTAAAGACAAGCAAAGTTAGTAGTGTTTCAATCTTATTCTTAAACATACTATTGGCTCTTGTGTAAAATAGAGTTTTTGATGGTTTTAGGAACGTGAAAAAGAACTAGCATGTCTTCGTGGCCGATTTGACAAGGGCAATTTATGGAGTGCAGAAAAAGGCGAAAACTCAAGAAGCAAACAGCTAGCGTGCAAACAGGTAACGTGAACAAGAAATATAAAAGTGAACTTGGTACCAAAGGAGGGCTGGGATCTAACTTGTGGTTCTATATTGTGAAATAATTCTTTATATATTTTCCTATTCCAATTAACTATGCCACTTTCCATTCATAAATTCCTTCAGTGTTCACACCAACTCTGCTTTTCTCTCGTGATATTTTCCCCTTCAGTGAAACTCTACCGTATTCACTGATGACCTATTTAAAATCAAATTAAAAAAAATTATTCTCATCATTCAATTGATTTCAGATTCCTTTTAACATTCTGCTTAGATGTGGTTCTAAAATGTTTCTCAGGATCAACTTTTCTCATTAATGATTGTATACCTCTCCCCAAATACCATAGTTTTAGACTATCCATAATTTTTTCAGTCACCAAATACCTCCCAGGTTTCTCTTTACTCCTGTATTACTTCCTATCAAATTTCATTAATCAGCCTTCAACAAAATCCCTACTTGTAAATGTAAACGATGTTCTGTTTCATTTACATTCCTACTGTGTACAAAGTACTATGATAGGATATATTTTTAAGCTAAAAATAATAGAATTATATTTAAAGTGGTTAGCAGTAGGGAAAAAAACAATAGCCAGTATTCTTTGAGAAACGATTGATTTTTTTTTTTTTTTTTTAAGTCAGTTCTCTTGCTTAACAAATCATATTTCCCAGAGTTCCAATCTGAACTCTTTTGTCTTCTCCCTTGCCCTGGGACATCTCTTCCCCATCCTTATATCTAGCTTCAGCCCAGCACAGAAAGGCTAATGATGCTCAGCTATGCTGTGCTCTTCTCTCTTCCTGAACTCAAAGGCCTGCTTGGCTAGTAGAGCTCTCTACACTTTGCTGTAGTATCTTCCCGTGTAGTCTGTGTCTTCACTTGGGGCTTTACTCTGTACCCTGTCATCTGAAGCAATCTGGGAGTTCTTCCTTGGCTCCTTCCTCTTAATACTATGTCTTCCCATCTCCTGGCCCCTAGCACACACACACATATAAACACACACACATCCAGGGATACCTTTTCTAAATCTGTCACCAAGCTGCCTTGTCCTCTGTATTTTCCTCTGCTGTTACCTTAATTACTAACATATCTTTGTTTTGGACACCCTGCTTCTACTTTGGCTTGTTTTCAGTTCATCTTACCCATTGCTGCTAGAAAAATATATATATAGATATATATGTATATATAGATGTTTTTCTTTTGGTTAGGAGGATTGGCCCTGAGCTAACATCTGTTGCCAATCCTCTTTTTGCTTGAGGAAGATTGTCCCTGAGCTAACATCTGTGCCAGTCTTCCTCTATTTTTTGTATGTGGGATGCCACCACAGCATGGCTTGACGAGTGGTGTATAGGTCTGCATCTGGGATCTGAACCGGTGAACCCCGGGCCGCCTAAGTGGAGGTTGCTAACTTAACCACTATGCCACCGGGCTGGCCCCCAGAGAAATATTTTTAAAAGGCAAATATTCATGTATTCACTTGCTTAAAATCCTGGAGAGCTTCTCTTAGCCATCATCAGGAAAATGTGTAAAGAGCTTGGCTTGACATCTAGCATCATTCAGAATCCGGCTGCTCCCACTGCTCCTCCGCGTGTGTGCTTCAGTCCTGTCATACAGGCAAATTCACAGCTTCTCAAATGTACCCATGTTTTCAGATCTCCTTGTCTTTGCCTTGCTTTTCTCTCTGCATGAAGTATCTCTGTGGTGAGCTCCTTCATTAAGAATAGGTCGAAGTTTAATCCCCTCTGGAAATTTTTACTTGGCCCTTTTCCCAAGGCGTCCCTCTTTTTTTCACCTATGTCATCCTGCATTTACTTCAACTGGAATATTTATCTTCCTGTAATTGTTTTAACTTTGCTTTCCACCACTGTCTATGAGAGCCTTATCCATCTCTATTTCTGTTCTTAGTGCTTGGCTCACAGTAGGAGCTCAATAAATTTTTTTTTGAAGGAAGGAATGAATGTGCTAATCTTTCCCATCAGCATACATCAAGTTATTATCTGTCATCTTAAAACAAAAACAACTTTCTTGACTCCCTATTCCCCTCTCTTTCTTTGCTTCCTTTTCATCCAAACTCTTCCAGAAGAGTTGTCTCCACTTAGTGCTTTCAATTTTCTCCTCCCTTCTCTCTCTCTCTCTTTTTTTTTTTTTTTGGTGAGGAAGATTGGCCCTGAGCAAGCATCTGTTGCCAATCTTCCTCTTTTTGCTTGAAGAAGATTGTCCCTGCACTAACATCTGTGCCAATCTTCCTCTATTTTTGTATGTGGGATGCTGCCACAGCATGGCTTGATGAGTGATGTGTAGGTCCACGCCCGGGATCTGAACCTGTGAACCCTGGGCCACCGAAGCAGAGAGCGCAAACTTGACCACTACGCCCCCTGGCCAACCCCCTCCCTTCTCTCTTAATCTCTCTCCACTACCAGCTCCATGGACCACTACCCTTGTCAAATTCACCAGTGATCTTCAGTAATCAATTTCCAGGCATTTAACTTGACCTATTAGCAACATTTGACATTGTTGATCACTTTCTTCTGTTTGAGGCACCTTCTTCCTTTGGTTGCCAGTATATCATAGTCTCATAGTTTTCCTTCTGTTTCTGGAAAGTATAGGGCAGCAGTTCTTAAACTATTTTGTGCTAAATAATTTCTGACAAACCTGTGGAATTCCTCCCCAGATAGTTGCACATATGCATGTAAACAAAATTCTGAATGCAGTAATAAGGAGTTCGGGGATCTCTCCCCTCAAAACTCAACTGTGGTTCCCACAGAGGGAACAGCTGAAGAGGTAGGAGGAAAAGGCAGTTGAGTATGGTGTTACTAAAGTCAAGGGAAGCAAGAACCTTTCAGAAGGAAGGAGTGGTCAGTATTGTCAAGTGTTTGCTGTCAAGTATGGACTAGACTGAGACCACTGGGTTTTGAAATAAGGGGCTTGTTGTGACTGGGCAAGAGCAAGTGAAGTAGATGCAGGTAGTAGGGGTGAAGAGCAGAGCCAGTGAGTGTAGGCAGTCCTCAGAAGTTGGGTTCTAAAGGGGAGGGAAAAAGAGGTGGTGGCTGGAAGGAGATGAGGAAGTAAAGTGTGGTTTGTGTTTGTTTTGTTCTTTCTCAGGAGACTTAAGTCAATTTTAGAGTCGATGAGAAGGAGCTAGTAGAAAGTAAAAGGTTGAAGGTAGAGGAGAAAGTGGTGATAATTGATGGGATGGGATAAATCTTTGAAGAGGTAAGAGTGGATGAACTCTAGAGCACAGTGAAGAGAAAGGATTATGACAGTTTCCTGGTGTGGTGAAAAGGAAGACGGAAAGCATTGTTTGGGGGCTGGTAGTTTTAGAGCTATGGTGACAGAAAACTGGTAGACTTTCTGTCTGATAGCTTCTGTTTTGTTCATCCTTAGGGAAGGGAAGGTGACAGGTGAAATACTCTCTGGAGAATGAAAGAGAGAGCTGGCTTGGGAAGAGAAGGACTAGGGGCTAGTCTTGGGTGGGGTGTGAGAGCATAAATTTATGGTGGAATCAAACTACACAGTTGTGAGTTTTTCTCTAGGTATGTCCAAAGAGCTTGGAAATAAATATGGAGAAATTGAGTAGTTCCAGTATTGGGGTTTTGACAGACAAGAGAAATGGTAGTACAGTTGAGGTGAGGGAGTTGAAGATGATGATTGAAGTGAAGGGCCATGAGGTCTAACCTGGGTGGAGATGTAAGAAAATAGGTAGGGGCGACAGGAAGAAAAGTATCAAATGACCAGAGGTCTCCATAAGGCCGAGAACATAGTCTGGTAGGAATTCCCGAGTAAGAGAGGTAGAGAGATTAGAGGTATGGTTAGAGTGGGATATTTGAATTTAGGATTTCAGGGAAGAAACAGGTATCAGGTGATGGCTGAATTGGAGTGGTGGTGAAGGTCTTTGGAACTGAAGTGTTTATGTAGCTGAGAGGTTAAGATGTTGTTTGGAAAGTATTTGTGGTTACTGATATCACCCCAGCTGATGGGAGGTCTTGGACTAGAGAAGAAATGAAATGGGGAGTGCCGTCGAAGCTGGAAGCTTGAGCCTCAAAGGAGCAGGAGATTTTAAAAGAGGATTACTAAGAGCTTGGAAGCATTAGTAGAGACAGGAGAAGAGGCTGTCCCTCATGTTGTCAGTGTTTAGGGGAGAGAACCACTTGTGTTTCAGAGGGTTGTAGGGTAAGTCCTGTCTTCACAAGAGAGCCAGGTTTCTATTTGAGCTAGAAAGTGGGAGGAATATTTAGTGAAGAGGATGAGGATGTAGGGGAGTTTGTTCACCAGGGAAGAGGGCTGTTTGGACACATTAAAGGGTTTTTGGAGAGGACAGTGCAGGGGGGACTTTGACTCATGGGAGAGAAAGCACAGAGCAGTATGCAGATGAGACTAATGGAAAAGGTGGAAATAATAAGATTATTACAATAGTTAATATTTATTGAATGCCTACAATATGCCAGGCCCCTCATGGGTAACTTTTAAAATATATTGCATCATCTAATTTTCACAATAACATTGTAAGTTGGGCAATAATTCCCCTTTATCTGGGTGAGGGACTAAGGCTTAGGGAGGTAAATCACTTGTTCAAGAATGGCACAGCTGGTAAGTGGTGAAGCCAGGGGTTCTAACCAGACCTTCTGACCCCGGAGCCTTCTCCTTTAATCACTACGTTTATTGTTGGGCAGTGATCCACAAGAAAAGGATGTGGGGCTTAGTGAGTTTATTTGGCATTGTGTTTTCACAGCTATGATTTAAGTTGTTGAGATTGAGTGTAGTTGCTTTCCATCACCACCATAGTCATTCTTTCATTTGCTCCACAAATGTTTGAGTGCCTACTGTATACAAAGCATAGAAGCTTTTTACTCTCAAGGTACGCTCAGCCCATTCTTCTCACTTCTGAAATGCATTTGCCCTATCTTCATCCCCTGCTCAAACTTCTTGCCTACCCTTAAAACAGCCCACAGCACAGCATTTAGTAGTTTGCTTTGTGTTTGTACATTAAAAGCTTCTTCTAACTTGAGAGACAATGTAGTCTGGAACTGGCTCTGGAACAAGAATACCTGGGTTTGTAAACTGACTCCACCAGTTACTAGCTGTGTATATAAGTTACTTAACTCCTCTGTGTCTCAGTTTTCTTGTCTGTAAAATGGAGATAACAGTACCTAATTTATAGGGTTATTGGGAGGATTAAGTGAGGCAATAATGTGAAGTGCTTAGAAAGGTGGCTGGCACATATTAAGCTCTATGTAAGTATTAGCTGCTGTTATTCTTATTCTTACTCTGATTATTTCAATTACTGCTTTAATCATAAAACTTTTTCAAAAACAAAAATTGAATGTTCCTCTTCCACAGCCTTGTAAATGATTAAAAAAGACTCAGTATAAGGGATTTTTTTTCCTTCTCTCTTCTTTTCTTCTGATTTTTGTCCTTTGTTTTGTTTGCATTTTATCCACTGAATAACTAGTAAGTGGACTCCTGGTGCAGGAACTGTCGCTAGATTTTATAGAAGTGGGATGAGATAGTGACATGGGGGAATTGTTTTTCCCCATGTGTGGCTTTCACTTGAATTGTTTTTTCTAAAGCTGAACTTTGATGTGAGTTTTCATTCTTTCTTTCCTCCTAATCTCTAAAAAAGATTTTACACACTGGGAATTACCAAGAATATGAACTAGCGCTGAGGGCTTTTTGTATTCTAAACATGTCTGGGTCCTTTCATGTACATTGTCTTTTTTGTTATGAGGAAGCTTATATAAAATAATGACTCTTGTTTGTTTCACTTAATAGCATGTAAAAAAGACAAAATCTCTAGTTTTGAGAAATAAAATTTATCTCTTCATTTGCTTTTTGCAGGAAATTCACTGTCAGAACACTCCCCTCAAAAAACATCAAGTTGTTTCAAATACCCCATCACTTCCAGTAACAGAAAAGGTGACAGAAAATCAAACACCAGCAAAACCTTCCAGTTCAAAACCTACAGGTCAGCACTTTCTATTTCTCCTTCACTTAAAATGTAGCTTTTGGTCTACCATAGTTTTGAGAATTGGATTGGAAAGCAGAAATGCTGCTCCATTGTAAAATGATAGATTCATTTCTTCATTTCCACTTATTTTTTCATTTCTAGCCATGCAATATGCTTCTTCCTTAGTTCTCTTTCCAGAGTGAGAACTCATGCTCTTGATGAGAGTGTAAATTACTACACCTTTTTTTTGGAGAAAAATTCAGTAATATCTGTTGAATTGTAAAGTGTGCATACTCTTTAATTCAGCTTCTCTGTAAATGTTTAAGTTGAATTCTTAGAACTAGTGTGCCAAGATGTATGTGCAAAGAGATTAATTGTTGCTCCATTTGTAATAGTAATAAGATTTAAGTAACCTAAATGCCCACCAGTAGAAGACTGTTTAAATAAATATATGCAGTCATATATTATGTAGCTGCTTACAAGAATAAGGTAGCTTTGTATGTAATGACATTTAATGTATCATAGACAGTTAAAAATATATATTTTTTAAAATTGTGGTAAAAAACACATTACTAAAATTTACTATGCCAGCAATTTTTAAATGCACAGTTTAGTAGTATTTAGTATATTCATATTGTTGTGGAACAGATCTCTAGAACTTTTTCATCTTGCAAAACTGAAACTCTATACCCATTAAACAATAACTCCCCATTTCTTCCTCTCTTCAGCCCATGGTAACCATCATTCTATTTTCTGTTTCTATGAATTTGACTACTGTAGACACCTCATACAAGTGCAATCATACACTTGTATTTGCAATCGTACAAAAGTATTTGTCTTTTTGTGATTAGCTTATTTAATTTAGCATCATGTCCTCAAGGTTCATCCATGTTGTAGCATGTGACAGGATTTCTTTCCTTTTTAAGGCTGAAGAATATTCCGTTGTGTATATATACTACATTTGTTTACCCATTATCTGTCAGTGGACATATGGGCTGCTTCCACCTCTTGGCTATTGTGAATAGTGTTGCTATGAACGTGGGTGTGCAAATATCTCTTTGAAACCCTGTTTTTAATTCTTTTGGTTATATACCCAGAAGTGGGATTGCTGGATCATATAGTAGTTCTATTTTTAATATTTTGAGGAACTATCCTACTGTCTTCCATAGCAGTCACACCATTTTATAATCTCACCAACAGTGCACAAATGTTCCAATTTCTCCACATCCTTGCCAATACTTGTTATTTTCTTTTTTTTTGATAGTGACAATCTGAATGGATATGAGATGATAGACCATCATGATTTTGATTTGCATTTCTTTTCTGATTAGTGATGTTGAGCATCGTTTGGATGTTGTTGGCCATTTGTAGATCATCTTTGAAGAAACGTCTATTCAAGTCCTTTGCCCATTTTTTTAATCAGGTTATTTGATTTTTGTTGTTGAGTTGTAGGACTTCTTTGTATCTTCTGAATATTAGCCCCTTACCAGATACATGATTTGCAAATATATTCTCCCATTGCCTTTTCTCCTCTGTTGACTGTGTCCTTTGATGCACAAATGTTTTTAAGTTTGATGTAGTCCCATTTGCCTATTTTTGCTTTTGTTGCCTGGGCTTTTGGTATCATATCCAAGAAATCATTAGCAAGTCCAGTGTCATGAAACCTTTCCTCTGTGTTTTATTCTAGGAGTTTTATAGTTTTGAGTCTTACAGTTAGGTCTTTAATCCATATTGAGTTAATTTTTGTGTAAGGTGTCAGATAAGGATCCAACTTCATTCTTTTGCATGTGAATATCCAATTTTTGCAACATCATTTGTTGAAGAGACTCTCTTTTCCCCGTTGAATCATCTTGGTAGTCTTGTCAAAAATCATTTGATCATATGTGTGAGATTTTATTTCTGAGCTCTGTATTCTATTCCATTGGCTTATACGTCTGTCTTTATGCTAGTATCATACTGTTTTGATTACTGTAGCTTTGTAATATGTTTTGAAAATGTCTGTCTTCTAACTTTGTTCTTTTTCAAAATTATTTTGGATGTCCAGGGTCTTGTGAAGTTCCATATGAATTTTAGGGTAGACTTTTCTATTTCTCCAAAAATACCATTGAGATTTTGATAGGAATTGCATTGAATCTATAGATAGCTTTGGGTAGTATTGACATCTTAACGATATTGTCTTCCAATCCATGAACCTGAGATGTTTTTCCATCTATTTGTGTCTTCTTTAATGTCTTTCAGCAATGTTTTGTAGTGTTCAGTATACAGTTCTGTCACCTCTTTCATTAGGTTTATTCCTAAGTATTTTATTCTTTTTGATGCTATTATAATTGGAATTGTTTTCTTAATTTCCTTTTCAGATTATTCATTGTTAGTGTATAGAAATGCAACTTATTTTTCTGTGTTGATTTCATATCCTGCATCTTTGCTGAATTTGTTTATTAGTTCTAACAGGTTTTTTTTGTGAAATCTTTAGAGTTTCCTATATATAAGATCATGTCATCTGTGAACAGAGATAATTTTACTTCTTATTTTCAAATTTTGATACTTTTCATTTCATTTTATTGCCTATTGCTCTAATGAGGACTTCCAAAGCTATGTTGGATAGAAGCGGTGAGAGTGGGCATCCTTGTCTTATTCCTGAACTTAGAGGGAAAGCTTTCAGTCTTTCACGATTAGTATGATGTTAGCTGTGTGCTTTTTATATATGGCCTTTGTTATGTTGAGGTAGTTTCCTTCTATTGCTATTGTGTTAAATGTTTTTATTGACACTTTTCTTTTAAAGTGAAAAACAAATTGCAGAACAGCCTGTATAATTTGATCACCTTCTAATAAAACAAAAGGATATACACATATGTATACGTAGAGGGGAAACTGGAAGAACAAACAATAACTTGGTAATAGTGGTGTCCCCTTTCTCTTGGTGGAGAGGAAGAGAGAGATGGGAAAGTGAAGAGAGGACAGGTGTTTTGGGGGATTCTCTACTTTATACATTTCTAGATTTGAAATGCATAATTTCATAATTAGAAAAAAAGATACATAAGATTCCTTAACTGAAAAATTGTAGGTTCTTATATATATGTTAATATGATATTTCTTGAAATTTTTTTAGATTTCACTGAATGTAAAATGACGAAGTCTAGCCCTTTGAGAATAACATTGTTTTTGGAAGAGGAAAAGTCCTTAAAAGTAACATCAGACCCAAAGGTTGAGCAGCAGACTGGTTAGTTTTTTATTCTTTATTTCTTATGGACTCTGAACACAGTATAAGAAATAATATATTGGTAGAAGCACATCTTCAAATATACAGTGTTCTGTATTTCAAAATATCTTGTGCTTTTGTTTTTTTTTCTATAGAAATACTCTCGGTTCCACAAAGATATAGTACTGTTACCAGTTATCTTTAGGTCACAAACCCCTGTGAAAATCTGATTAAGGCTATCACTCAGCTTTCATGGGGAAAGGAAATATGCTGCTGTTTCCACACACTGCATGTACTGTTCGGGGAATTAAAGGCGCTTGAAGCTTATTTGTGAACCCTGCCCTTAATGATGTTAATATTTAACATCATTATTATTGACTGCCATGTGAAAAGGCAGCTCTCAACAATAGAAAAAAGAGTTATTTGAAAGAATATTTTTTGTAAGTCTGTGGCTTTTGGCTATTATCCTGCAGTTTGAGTTCTTACTTAATGTTCTTTCCTAAACCCAAAGCATTGAATCAGCTTTTGATAATTCCAACCTTCATTGCTTAGACAGTGTTATTGGAACTTTGAAAATTATTTTGGTTTCATGTATTGGTAATATTTTATTATTCTTTTTGTTTAGAAGATGCTTTTCTTGGGCATTTTTTCCTGTTTACTTAGTAAGCATATGAATGTTAGGTCTTCTCTGCTATCCGTTTACTTCTTAAAGGTCTGAATTACAGTATTCACCTATTGAAATATTTTTCAGAAGTGGTACGTGAAATTGAGATGAGCGTGGATGATGATGATGATATCAATAGTTCAAAAGTAATTAATGACATCTTCAGTGATGTCCTAGAGGAAGGTGAACTAGATGTGGAAAAGAGACAAGAGGAGATGGATCAAGCAGAAGCAGAAAGCAACGAAGAACAGGAAGATGCACTGAATATCTCCTCAATGTCTTTACTTGCTCCGTTAGCACAGACAGTTGGTGTGGTAAGTCCAGAGGTAAGGAAAGACTAAATGTAGACAGAAACTAAGTAGCATTGGGATCTCCTTTTGTTTTAGTTGGTGTTTGGGGATTTGGCACTCTGTAGCCGAGGGGATTTTGCAAACCCGATGTTAATTCTCTTAAAAGAGAGCTTAAAATTCTTCAGTGGTTTCCTGTTGACTTAGATAAAATCCAAACTGTAACATGGCTTAAAAGGCCGACATTTGGGCTCAAATCCTGGCTCTGCCATTTACTGATGTTTTGGTCAGGCTATTTAACCTCTTTGCTTTAGTTCCTTCATCTGTTAAATGGTGTTAAAAATAGTGCCCACACCATAGGGTTGATGTGAATATTAAATCGTATTAGTATATTAGTATTTAGCACCAGACAGGTAACTAACATTTATTGAGAGCTAACTACTGTTATTAGCTATCACCCTAAATTGAATAACTGCAGCTTTGTTTGGAAATTGATTCAATTAGAAATATGTATATATGTTTTTTTTTGTGAGGAAGGTCAGCCCTGGGCTAACATCTGCCAATCCTCCTCTTTTTTTGCTGAGGAAGACTGGCCCTGGGCTAACATCCGTACCCATCTTCCTCCACTTTTTTATATGGGATGCCGCCACAGCATGGCTTGACAAGTGGTATGTCGGTGTATGCCCAGGATCCTAACCCAGGCCGCCAGCAGCAGAGTGCATGCACTTAACCACTATGCCACTGGGCTGGCCCTAGAAATATTTTTAAAAAGAACTACAAGTGTAGATTTCAGCTGTCTTTGAACTTTTATTTATTCATTTACTTTTTAGGAACTTATTTTAGTTTGCCTTGTTTTTATGATGAATCAGTCGACTTATTGGATGTTTATTTCCTAACAATAGAGAAGAATTCGTTCTGTTCCTCAGAATTATCATTTAGAATCAATGTCATCCACGAAATCTACTGATATCTGATGTGCTTCCCTGCAGAGTTTAGTTTCCTCACCTGGATTGGAATTGAAAGACACCAGCATAAGTGATGAAAGTCCAAAGCCAGGAAAATTCCAAAGAACCCGTGTCCCTAGAGCTGAGTCTGGTGATAGCATTGGTTCTGAAGAGCGTGATCTTCCTTACAGGTAAGAACGTTTTTAGAAGGCATTCACTCACTGAGAGTCATGGTTTAGAGTGACGCAACAAGTTGTGTTATTTGTAATTATAATGTTATTAATAATTAATCTGTATAAAACTTTGGAATAACTTTTGTCAGCCTCTCTTTTACCCACTGGCATTTTCCATTCTGGTGAAGTGTTCAATTGCTGATATATTTCAATGTCAATATCAAATTCTGCTGATATATTCAATAAAGGAGAGTACTTAGTGTGTTGCTGGATTTCTAATAGAGTAAAACTTATTTCCTGAAGCATTGATGCATATAGATCTCAAAGATTCAAAGAAACAGAACGTCCTTCAATAAAGCAGGTGATTGTTCGGAAGGAAGATGTTACTTCAAAACTGGATGAAAAAAAGAATGCCTTTTCTTGTCAAGTTAATATCAAACAGAAAATGCAGGTATGTACTTATGTGGAAAGGATTTTGGGTTTGGAATGTTTCCTGTATGAGACTGAGCTCCTTGAGGACAAGGGCCCAGCCTCCTTCACCTCTGTACTCTGAGTGACCAGGACAGTGTCTGATGTGCAGGGGCTCAGTAAATTGCTCTTGAATTCACTTTAATTTGAGAAAGTTCCTCTTAATTGGAAAAATTGGAATCTTGTTTGATATTGCTGTAATATTTATTTTTAAACGTGTTTGTCATATGTATCCTTAAAGTATAATGATAAATTAGATGATGGTGAAAGGTGAAATTTATTTTGCTCTTAGAGGTTCTTTTACACTAAGGAAAACATTTACAAAATTACAACATACATGTAATTTAAATAAAATGAATCAGATAGTTTCTAAATCTCTACCTTGTTGGACATAGCCCCAATTATAATTTTAATAAGTATGAGTTGAAAGTCTTTTCATAAGGAAGAATGTTTATAGTTTATTATAGCACATTAAATGTTTTTTGTGCATAATGTAGAAACTTGAACAGTGAAACTGTAACATTTTGACTTTACTCTGGAAATTTTGGAAATTATCCAATTGGATTAGTTAAGCAAAAATGGTGATTAAAAATGTGAATTTTTTCTCCTCTCATTGGTTTCCCTAGGAACTCAGTAATGAGATAAATTTGCAGCAGACGGTGATCTATCAAGCTAGTCAGGCTCTTAACTGTTGTGTTGATGAAGATCACGGAAAAGGGTCACTAGAAGAAGCTGAAGCGGAAAGACTTCTTCTAATTGCAAGTATGTGTGATACACCCGAAACAATTCCAACACAATTTCAAACCAGGAAAAACTCATTTTGTCTAGTATATTCAGAAATCTCTAATTTTAGAGAAAGGGCTTTTTCTCATAATCTGTTTCAGTTGATCTATTTTTTGTTCCTTATACTTACAAGATTTGTGAAAACTCTACGTAAAAGCTGTAGTTTGCATAAAAGCGTGAAAGATACTGGAATGCATTTGAAGAAATGTAGTTGTGAAGAGTATGTCAAGAATGAATATATGCATATATTTGTATATATACACACTATTTCTGTACCTATCTATGTATATATAGCTAAAAAAAGTGTATGAATTTTATTGTGTGTGTATGTGTGGTGATGGATGACAGCGTATATTAGGGTGGAGAGATTATACCACACAGGAAAACTGACCAAAAGTTGAAGTATTAAATTATAAGGACTTGGTAAACAGATGAGCAATCATGGTTTTACCCAACTGCCTACCACCTGTTTGTATAAAGAAAGAGTTACTGATTTCATCTTTGGTCTTATGTATAATTGCCGAATCAGTGCATTTTCTTGAATTGGTCTGTTTTAGAAACAGTTGCAGTTTTAATGTTTGAAATATTAACTTGCATATTTTTACATAGCTGAGAAGAGAACACTTTTGATTGATGAACTGAATAAATTGAAGAGTGAAGGGCCTCAGAGGAAGAATAAGGCTGGTCCCATATCCCAAAGTGAGTTTGTCCCGTCCAAAGGATCAGTTACTTTGTCAGAAATCCGCTTGCCTCTAAAAGCCGATTTTGTCTGCAGTACAGTTCAGAAACCAGGTATGGTGATTTTTATTTGTATCACTTCTAGATCATAAATGGGAATAAGTAGAGCATGGATAAAGATGTAAAGCTTGTATCTTGGGTCTTTAGTTCCTTTTATGAGGATATGTGTATAAAAATAACCAAGGGAAAATTTCATATATGGGCTTATTGATCCACACAAGAACAAACATGGCTCTAACTGAAAGTAAGGCTAATTAAACATAGTTTTTAACATAAAATATTTTCCTAAGATGAGTTATCCTGATACAGCAGATCATTCAACTTTCATTAATTAATTTTATTGTGGAAAGTATTGGGACATCTAAAATAACTTATTTTACTTTATTCTATTTAAAATTCACCCCATTATAGAAATTTGTTCTATAAATCCTGAATTACTGGTTGTGGGAGTAAAGAACACCACAGTGTAGATACTTCTATTGAAATTTTATTCTCTTTGTCCCCTCTACATTGAATAAGTAAACTTTTCCAAACTATGTATTCTACTAAAAATCATGTATAAGCAAAGTTGGTAAAGGAGAATATGACACCAGGTTCTGAAAACAGGACAGAGTAATTACAGCAAACTTAAAGTTTTATTAAATTTTAGATGCTTTTTTTTTTTTTTTAAAGGTTCCTTTAATTTTTTGTGTGGAACATTCTCTGTGAGGGAAAGGAGGGCTAGACATAGGTGGAGGGCTAAACTTGGTGAGGAGTGAATTTGAGGTACAGGGAAGGTAAAGAATGGAGATCTTTAAAAGTTTGAGCATTATTGCAGGAATGAGGTAACCTAAGTTCCATTTCTTGCTGTTGTCTGATTTTGGCAGGTTTGGGCAGAAATCTATTGGTAATTCAGTATGTACCTTGAGATATGTGGTTATTTAATGACAAATAGTGAAAAAATAATTCATGTTTTTCTTAGAATTTACCTCTGAGTAACCTTCATAGAAATATAGTATTTTAATCTCAGTCTTGAAATAACAAACCATAATTTTCCCTTTAGAAGTATATACTATTAGCTAAAGAATTAGAGGTTAATAGACAAAATTCTAAGTCAGCAGAAATTGAGGGGTGTGGAGTGAAGTTATTTCAATTCACAAAATAGGAAGAGACCTTAATGATGCTTATTCCAGGATTATGACTCAACTTATGTCTTACTTATCTTTTTGTGTCTGGAAAGTTGATTTTAGAAATTTTTATTTTATTTTTTTATTTATTTTTTGTGAGGAAGATCAGCCTGAGGTAACATCCATGCCAATCCTCCTCTTTTTGCCAAGGAAGACTGTCCCTGAGCTAATATCCATGCCCATCTTCCTCCACTTTTATGTGGGATGAGCCACAGCATAGCCTGACAAGAGGTGCATCGGTGCGTGCCCAGGATCCGAACCCGGGCCGCCAGCAGCAGAGCCTGCGCACTTAACTGCTGCGCCACGGGGCCGGCCCTAGAAATTTTTAAATAAATTTTATGTAAATTAGTTGTAGTATTAACTTACTCCTTTGGTCTTCCAGAATGCTGATTATCTAAATCTGATTTTCCTTATACTTATTATATAATGTGATTATTTCTTGCAGATGCAGCAAATTATTATTTCTTAATCATACTAAAAGCAGGAGCTGAAAATATAGTAGCCACACCATTAGCAAATACTTCAAATTCTCTTAATGGCGATGCTCTGACATTCACTACTACATTTACTTTGTAAGTAAATTAGGTCTGATGGTTCAAACACATTTTTCTTTTAATAGAATTAATATGGTATAAGCATACAGGTGGCATTTATGATCTTTTAAATGCAGTATGTTCATTCGTTTTATATGGGCCAATAACTCAGTTTTTAATTCGTTGGTTTAACTCTTTTATATGTTTCCAGTCTTTCCTTTCGTTGAGTAGCACATTTCTTCTGTGTGACTAAAGGTATTTAATGTTGTGAAGTGTTTAAAAAATATATATATATGTACATGTATATGTGTATGCATATATATATATATAAAATCGGGACCTTGTTTTTTTATATATGCTTTAAAATCTCACAATATACTTAGTATTCAATCTTAATGAAAAGACATTTATATTTAGCATCACAGATTTATTTTGAAACTAGAGTCAAAATCCAGTTTGAAAAAAAATTACTTTTATTATTGAAGATCTTGAGTTATAAAATACTAAAGAAAATATTTGAGTTTTATTATAGGAAAAAATAAACTTCTTACCAATTTTTATAATCTTTAATGTTTTATGACTACATATTGACTTTAGTTAAAAGCACAGTGAATTTCTGTACTTTCAGGAGTAACAGTATTTGTGGCATAATTTTTAATGGTATAACGATATTTTTCTTATAGTTTTAATGCTTTATTTTTCCAGGCAAGATGTGTCCAATGACTTTGAAATAAATATTGAAGTTTACAGCTTGGTAAGCAGTTAAAGCTTTCTAAACTAACTAATAATATATTTTTCTTAAAGATCAGATTTTAAGCTAATTATGCTTTGGGGTTGTGTGTAGGTGCAAAAGAAAGAACCCACAGGCCCTGATAAGAAGAAAAAGGCATACAAGTCCAAGGTGAGAATGAAAGAAAGCCAGTAAAAATATTATAATCACAAATAATAGATATCATATCAGTTTTAATTTAATTTATCAAGTTTTGGGATCATTTTTATGCCCTAAATTTCTAGTTACTGTGTTTAATAGGTATGAATACTGAGGGTAAACTTATAGTGAGTGATCATGATTTAAGTGTAAGCTACTGATACGCTCAGGCTTGATAGTTCTATTTTCTCTATATTTACTTTACAGCTAACTTTTATTACCTCTTTAAACTTTTCTCAAGCCTTTCCTCTGAACTCTTGTCTCACTAACTCCTCTAAACAGTACTTAAGAAGCATGTGGTCACTGTGCAGGCGTAAGGAATAGAACCTCTAGCGTATTTTCCATCCTTCCTAGTCTTTGCTCTTTTGTTCTTTTTCTATGTCATTTAAAAGAATTTTATTTAGCTTTAGCAAGAAAGGAATGGCAGTATGGATAAAGCCTTAATAAAGGACTCAACTATAATATATTCATATTTAAGAATTATTTTCTATCTGGGAGTATCTCAAGCTTGGTTAGTTTTAAGCTCTGAATCAAAATGTTTAATGGGAATTATACTAAGTTATCTTTTCTTCTAGGCTATTACTCCAAAGCGACTTCTCACATCTATAACCACAGTAAGTAGAAGTTTAAAAAAATTGAGCCTCCTTGAAAAATCTTCATTTTACACATATGATTGTGAATTGGTTAACCATTTCTAAACCCTTAACACTTGGCAAGTCTTTAAAATATACTAATGGGGGGGAAATCTCTGATATTTATGTAGGAAAAAATAATGTTTTCTGAAACGTAGTCCTTGCAGTGTTAAAGAGTTTTGTATTTAATATTTAAATCTTTGTATCAAATAAAGAAAATAACTTATATTTCTTCTTCATACCTTTTTTTAGAAAAGCAGCCTTTATTCTTCAGGTAAGTGGATCTTGAACTATTTGAGACACTAGACTAAGGGAAAGAGTTAATCAGTTGCATACTTATACATATAGCCATCTTGATTTATGAATGTTTACCTGAGTCTCCGTTGAATAAGAGTTTCCATATGGTTTTTCGTAACATATAAGATTACTGGCCAGGATAGCATGTTGTCTGGTTGCCCCTTTGTCAGATACCACCACAGGCCAACAGTCATCACATTATTCAGCTCTGGCAGGCGGTCCACATATGATACCTCGTCCCTTGACAGCTACAGCAGGTAGCATTACTCTCCACCCTAGCTTCTATCGTTCTGTAGGTGTGTTCTGTGCTATCCACACTGCGGAGTTTACTTTTTTTAACTTTACTGATCATGACTTACGTTGTATCATGTCAGAAAAGGATCTTTCTAGTTCACTGTGAACTGGGTGCCAGTAAGCCAGGAAAGGCCTTTTCTAGAATGGCTTTAGGCTTGAGTTTTCCAAAGGGGATTAGGATTGAGCTTGTTTCACTCACTTCCTTTGGGCTTTTGGTCTCTTCTTGGCCCGAGAAAGTAACTAAGAACTGTGCAGATATAGTCTCTGCTGCTAATTATGTCATCCTAGACTATAGCAATGTAGTCTTTTTGTATGTCTTATAGGAAAATTGCTTTTTTATGTATAGATTTTTAGGTTCTGTGTCTTTAAAAACACATCTATCCCAAATGTTAAGGAATGCCTGTACCTTACTTAAGTTAAATGTAAAATACTTAACAGTTTTCTTTCATTAGGAAATAAGTTGATTTATTTCCCCCCCCATATTTAGAGATGGAGGAAAATGAAGCAGTTTTCTCTGTGGCAATTTAATTTCATTCTATTGGGGTGGGTGAGGAATTGTTATTTACCATTATGAAAGTCACACTGCAATAAACTTCATTTCCTTTTTCTTTAGTTATGGCCAGTCCAGGCGGTCTCAATGCCGTGCGTACCAGCAACTTTGCCCTTGTTGGATTTTACACACTGTCATTATCTTCAGTAGGAAACACTAAATTTGCTCTGGACAAGGTAATCCAAATTTATTTATTTATAGAAAAATTAGGTCAATGGAAATGCCCCAGTACTTTCAAGTATTTGAAATCTTTTGTTGAAAATGTATGTTCTTAGAATTGTATGTCTAGCTAGGCATGGGTGTACCTATGTGATATATTTTTTGTTCATTCTAAATGTCAGTTCTGACTCAAGGAATTTACTTCTTGCATGTAGATGTTAAGCTTACAGTTTTAAACATAGTTTCTTGCCCATTTGAACTGATATTTTGAAATGAGTAACATTTTATAGATTTGGTTTTGACAAGATAGGGAAAGATAGGTTAATTTCTTAGAAAAGTCCTCATGAATCTAAGGGATTTCCTTCTCATACTTTCCTCCCCAAATTTAAAGCTTCAAAATTCAGATCTGCATAATACCACTATTGAGTACTTTTCCACCATACTCTGATATGATTAAACTTTTAATAGCTAACAGGACCATTTTAAGGAGTGAGAGAACTAGAGGTGAAATTTAGTCCTTGGTTAGACTGCTGCTGTATAGAGAGATATTTTAAAATATTATAAGAGATTTCTATAGTCAGAATATAGAGGTAAAAGTATAAAAATTAAGAGGCCTGGTTTCTAGTGTTTGCCCTATTAGTAATTTCCTCTTTAACGTTGAGCAGTCACTTCACTTCTCTGGGGTCTTGCTTTCCGAGTATAGAATACAGTCGTGCACCGTATAATGAAGTTTTGGTCAATGACGGACCACGTACACCACAGTGGTCCCATAAGATTAGTACCATATAGCCTAGGTGTGTAGTAGGCTATACTACCTAGGTTTGTGTAAGTACAATGACAAAATCCCCTAATGATGCATTTCTCAGAACATATCCCTGTCATTAAGTGACACATGACTGTGTCATTAGGTTAGATGAAAACAATCTAACTTTAAAATTCTATGAACCATTTTTCTTTTAGTTGATAGACACAAAACAGACTATGTTTTGATTATTGTTAATGCATAAATGTATTTTAACATGTTAATGTTTAAAAATTCATGTGACTTTTTATTTAGTAATTCAGCTAGTTTAACAAATTGAGTGATCTTGGGTCTTTTTTCTCTTTGTCTTTTATTTTGTTTGTTTTAGATAAATTATGATGTAAAAGAGCGAGAGCTACTGGGCTATATGTTCCAGGAAAAGGTTGCCATATTTTCTTTGCTTGAAACTAATGAGCTTAAAAATCAGTCTTTAATTTTTAGCCCATATGTATTTGTTTCACTAACCACTCTTATATCTTCTTGTTTATTTTGAATAATTAAGGATATTATGTAAATTATTCTTTCTTTAGACTCTTGCAGATGGGCATCTTTTTCTTTGCTCTCATAATTCTTTAAAGATTTCTTTGAAAGGTCTCTATTTTTTTCATGCATGTTTGGTATTTGGGCTTTTTTCCTATATTCTTTTTTTTATTTTATAGTTCTGTAAGGTTCACTTCAACATTGATTTTCTGGGTACTAAAATACCAAATTAATAACTATGTCTAAAACTAAAATTTATTCGATATTATTGACCTCCCATGTATTGAAGGAGCTATTGGTGATGTTTTAAGTAAAAATTGAAAACTGTTATGGTCTCAATTGTCTAATAGGCATGTTGCTATGTAGATGATGCTTTGTTTATTAATTTTCAAACTAAAATGCATTTAACACTAAAATTATACTAAATATAATCATATTTTAGAAGATTTCTTTAAAGGCTTTTTAATATCCTTGTGAAAATCACTTGCAAGCATTTCGTGGGTATATAGAAATGCTAATTTACAAAATGCTGGATAGTATTTTTTATTTTATTTTAAATTCTTAGAACCAAATTTGCAAATTAGATAAGTGTAAGAACTAGGGTTCTATGAACTGCATTCCTTACTCAGTGTTGTCACATAGTCAATTTCTACATACGTAAAAGATTTTATTAATCTCTGAAATGAAAGAGATTTCAATGTGTTAAACATAGACTGCTCTTTTGAAAAATTTCTTGGCTGCCATTTTAACTTAAAATGTCACACAAATTAAAAATAAATTATAATATTTCCATTCTCTTAATGATTCCTTTGAAATTGTAACTTAAATAGCCACCACATGATTGAGTGCAGAATCAAATCACTAAATTTAATTCGTTGTGTCTAATTCTCTAAATTCTCTTTCTGAGTCAAATATAATACAATTTAGATGTGAAATTTGTCCCAAATGTACTTTTGTGAGTGGCAGGAGGAAGCAGATATTTGTTCCAATAACTTGTAGTTGATACGAGAATATTTAAAATAATTAAATTTAGATATTCTTCAAATTGGTGGGAAAAATGGAAGACCTTCTATACTCATATAATAATCCTATTTAATTAACTTTGAGACAGTAGACAAGACTCCCATATCCTATCAGATACCATCGATTCAAAGGAGTGTTTGCTTATTTTACTGGTACCGTGACTAATAATATAACAGTCATGGGGGTTATCTCTGAGATCCCCTTCAGAATGGAATTTGTTTTGAGATTAACCCAGGCTGTTTGCTCTACAGATTTAGTGTGCCACTAATGGTGGATCGCCTTTTTATTTCAAGTTATAGATATCTGACGTAAAGTCTGGCGTCTTGGAATTTAAATTATGAATCTCAGTAAGTCACAGACTCTTAAATCTTTTCTTTGAATCGAGAATCCAAAATAGTCATAGGTTTTATCATACTTTTGTGGATAAAGGGAGGAGGACATCCCACAGTTCATCCTCTGGCTTAAAGAAACCTCATAGGTATTTATACCTTCCAGGAAGTAGAGATGTCAATTTAAATAATATCAGAGCAAATAGTTATGAAGTAAAAACTAATTAGCACTGTAGAATTTTGAGGTTCTAGGAAGAGTGATTAGGCATTCTAGTGTGCCCCAAGCTATCCTGGTTTAAGCCTGTTGGCCCAGTATAATTAACAGTATTGCTTTCTCTCTCAGAAATATCCCAGTGTATGAAAAATTACACAGTCACCCTGGTTGTAGATTACATTTTACAGCTCTTAACAATAATCTTTGAGGTGCGGATATCTTAAAAGACCCTTTTGTTAAACAGAAAACAGAATAGGATCCTACATTTTCACACTCAACAGGGGGTAGTAACATTGACTCTTTTGTGAATATTCTCAATTCACTTCATCAGGAAAAGCTTCTACCCAAGAATATTGCCTGCTTTTCACAGCTGTAGAGTAAGGGGACATTTTCTTCTCATTTTTCTGAGATTCTTTTTACCAGCAGCATTCTCTTGGCTAAACAACAGAATTCTATTAATTCGCACTGACAGCCTAAGGAGCTTAAAACTGACAATATGGAAAAGAAAAAGGCAAGAGAATTTATAACAAATACGACAGTGAGGCATATGATGTTTTGATTCTACGTTATGGATGCCTTTTAAATTTAGAAAGTTGGTGGTTTGTTTCATGGAATTGTCTATTGAAATCTATACATTTTGCCCCCAAAATCTCCCTTTAACTTTTCTTTATTGTGTTGGAGGACTAAATTGTTGGAAACTAACCTTACAATAAAAGCTTTCATATTTAGACTGAACTATGATTATTCCAACTAGGATGTCATTCTTTTTCACTGGGCAGCAGGAATGACAGACAATAGCATCTTCCTTTCTATATTGACTCAGAAGTCAATATCACTTTAAATACACGTGTGTTGCCATTTTACTCTAATGATGCAACCTCTCCAATTGAATTTTTTCTTATATTTGTAATCTTTAATTCAAATTCAAAATATTTAAAATTATCACATACACTTAAGCAGCTTTTATAATTTAAAAGATACTTTTGACATGAGGTGTCTTCACTAAATATTAATATGTTGATAAGAATGATTTATTTAAAAATATTTCTTATGTGAATGTTTTCAGTGGTAGATAGAAAGCATGATTTTATTTGGAAGAAAATATAAATTCCTCAAGCTTCCAACTAGTAAGAGCTACATAGTCTCACTTTAGGCACTTAATTTTTATTTTGTCAATTTATGTTCATGTATTTTAAAGCTACGCTATTAGGTGCCCAAATATGTAAAACTATTTTATCTTCTTGATGAATTGTTCACTTTATCTCTGATAATCTTTATTTTAAAGTCTATTTTGCCTGATATTAATAGAGTTACAACAGCTTTCTTAGGATTAGTGTTTCTATGTCATATCTTTTTCTATCATTTATTCTCAACCTGTCTGTATCCATATGTGAAATTTGTGTCTTACAAATGTATTTTATGGTGATATTTTGTTATCCAGGATGACAATCTTTTGTCTTTTCATTAGAGTGTTTGGTCCACTTATATTTAATGCAATACTAATATTGTTGGCTTTAGTGTACCACAAGAGAAGGCAAACTTATAGCCTGTTTTTTTTCTTGTTTTTTTTTAAATTAACATCTTATATTAGTATGGTACATTTGTCACAATTAATATTAGTGAACTAATGTTGATATATTATTATTAACTAAATTTCAGCAGCCAGGTTTTGTAGCTAAAGTATTTGAAACGCAACCACGCCCGCTTGTTTATGTACAGGCATACCTCAGAGATATTGTGGGTTCAGTTCCAGACCACCAAGATAAAGCAAATATTGCATTTAAAAAGCTATAATGGCAGAGTTGAATAGTTGTGACAAAGATTGTATGGTCTGCAAATTCTAAAATATTAACTGTCTGGGCCTTTACAGAAAAAGTTCACAAACCCCTGGTCTACCATTTTGTTCTTTGTTTTCTATTTGTCTCATCTATTTTTTGTCCCTTTGTTTTTCCTTTCTTGCCTTCTTCTGGATTAATTAAGTATTTTGGTAACCTTTTTCTCTCCTCTTTTGGCTTTTTAGCTATACATCCTTGTATTCTTTTTCAGTTATTGCTAAGGATTACAATATGCATCCTTAACGTATTACAGCCTACCTTGAAATTCTGTTATTCTACTTCATATACCTTATAATATTTAGAACCTTGCAACAGTGTAATTCCATTTGCCCAC